GAGTGGTCTTAGATTAAAATGGTATAATAAAGCGAGCTTAGATATCATCCTGCTTTTAGAGAGGAGTAATCTAGATTAATAAAAGGACTAATTGTCGTCTTTGCAAGCGTTATATTCTCTAGAAGGAACAAAACGTCCCTGAAAGACTTACGAGTGAACTGTTTTTATTGATGATGAGTTTACAGGCACGATCGAAGCTCCGATCGATGGATGGATCTATCAAGCATAGACGGGGCAATTGGAGCTGCTGCAAGGTCCCTTGCAAGTGCATCGACCATAGGAGCAGCTTCCAGAGTGGCACCTCTCGCAGTGCTCGCCGTGCCTCACAAAGTGGCAAAGCTTACAGTAGTCCTTGCACTTCAGGCCACCAAAAAAGCAAGTATACCTCCTGTGACATTTGGCTTCCTCATGCGCTCCCTCAATCACCATGGCTGCCGCAAGAAAGATCGCTGCCAGCATTAAAAGAAACAACTTCATTGTCAAGAGCAAGAAAACCAAGCGAAGAATGCCTACAAGATGGGCTCTCTCTCTCTCTCTATATATGGTGTGCCCATATAGTAATATTTTCTTTCATCTCAGGTGAGACGATCTTCAATAATTATATTCTGTACATGTTCTCAAATGGTTAGATCTTGGAGTGCTCGCATCTGCTAGACTTGCCTAGAGCCACAGCGGTCTTGGAGCCCGACTGGCGCCCCAGGTGCTGCGAGATAAACTCTCCAGCAGCGAGAACCAAGCTCAAGTCCACGTTTGTGGAGACGCCCAGCCCGTTTAGAAGATAGATCACGTCCTCCGTCGCTACGTTCCCAGAGGCGCCTTTCGCGTAGGGGCAGCCACCGAGCCCTGACACGGACGAATCCACGGTGCTCACTCCCATCTAAAACAAATCCACAGAGCTCATTCCCTAGAAGAAACGAGAAAAAACGAAGAGTAAATTGATCACTCACTTGTAAAGCTACGAGGATATTGGACAAGGCTTGACCATATGTGTCGTGCATGTGTACGGCTAGATTCTCCACTGGAACGACGGACATTACTGCCTCGAGCATCGGCACCAAAGTTCCTGCCAATCGTTCCAAGCTTTAGATAATAAAAGAGTGATTTTTCCTTACCAGGGGTTCCAACGCCAATCGTATCACCCAGAGAGATTTCGTTGCAACCCATTCGGTAGAGCTCGCCAGCAACGTATCCAACTTTGTGGGGAGGAACCGGGCCTTCGATCGGGCAGCCTACAACACAAGAGATGTACCTTGAAGAAGGAATGATATGCAGTGAGAAAAAATGAAAGCAGAATTCGTTCTCTTGTTTTTTTGGTGAAAGATAAAACGAGCCTCTTAGCTTACCCTCGGACAGAGATGCCGTGCTGCTTTGCTAGATCACAGACCTGTTTGTAGCGCTCCAGGCTCTCGCTGATGGTGCAATTTATGTTTGCCTTGGAGAATGACTCGGAGGCTGCTGCGAAAACTGCTACGTCTCTTGCTCCAGCATCCAGTGCTGCTTGAAAACCCTGAGGAGCAGCATGGATGCTACTAGACCTTATTCTAAGCGAAAGAAAGAAAGAAAGAAAGAAAGAAATCAAGAGTACCTTGACGTTTGGCGTGAGGACTGGAAACTTGCTCCCTTGGAGACTTTTGATGGCATGCAAAACCTCCTTGGCATCCGAGAGCTACAACAAAAGGAATTTTTCATGTCGTTTACAACAAACTGGCAACAAACTGGAAATTTGTTACCTGTGGAACCCATTTGGGCGAGACAAAGCTGGTGGCCTCGACGACTTGGAGGCCGGAAGCACAGAGCTTTCGTATAAGCTCAACTTTGATGTGAGTTGGAACAATCTTCTTTTCGTTTTGCAGCCCGTCTCGAGGCCCGACCTCGACGATCTTCACAAACTCTGGCATGCTACCGAATATCTACATTTTCAAACAAAACGACATGAAGCGTAGAAAAAGAAACATCGAGATATAAGTTAAAAGTTACCCTTGGCTTTGGACGCTCCGTGCTGAAACAGCGGCTGGAAGAGCGAAACAAGCCTCCGGAAGAAGCCCAGAATCCTTGCTCGCTCGCTGAAGAAGATGGAAAGCTGAAGGATTGGTACAGTCCCCTTTGTGACGGCCTCCACTGTGAATCATCACTACTGGGGAAAAAAAAAATACTAAGCAACTAAAAACTCGTGCAAAATGGAAGAAAATTTCACCTTGAGTTGCCGAAGCCCTCCCTGGCGAGCAAGCACGGCCTCCAGGCTGCGGAGAAGGAATCGGAGGAATCCATGGCGGGCGACACACCATGAGAGCCGAGCCACGCCCTGATTGTGGCCTGCGGAGCAGTGATCCTGGGAAGCCGCATCACAAAGTCATTCTACTGTCGCCCTCGATTTTGAGTGTCGCCCTACCCTACCTACCCAAGTCTCGGGATTTCTTATGTCTATACAGTCAATTCTGGAAGAATTTTCATCTCTCTCTTTTTCTTACATTTGTGCGAATGCCATGAAAAATCAAAAACATTATTAAATTAAAGGCAAACACCAAATATGGTTCTTGTAAACCAAATATGGCCTCTTTGTATTGTATACATAATCAACTCTTGTCGTCACTCTCATTAGTAGAACGATGCCACCACACCCGGGATTACCAGACGTTCTTTGGTTTTATATCTTGTCCAAGCTGCTGGATGTTGAATCACTGGTTCGAGCATCCCTTGTTTGCAGGGAATGGAATGGGTTTGTTCGTAGAGAGGGCAACGATATCAAGCAAAGGTGTAATTCTCCACTCTTGTTTCTTCAAGTGGAACTTCGAAGGCTGGCGTGCTTCAACCCTAAAAGTGGCCAGCTCTACGATCCCAACACCTTTTTTCTGCCACCTGAGGTATCAGTTTCACTATCAAGCATTCCAGTCGCTAGCTCAAATGGTTGGGTGTTGTGGAGGTATTACACAAAGGAAGATATGGTCTCTTTGGTGATAAACAATCCCTTGGTACGATCCAGCTCAGTGACGCTGCCACACTGCCATGACGTTTTGACGGAGGATTGGATTGAACCTGAGAACTTCGCCGTGCTTGCGGCCAAGGACGGCAGCAGCTTTTGCATATCTTTTGTCGTCTTTGGTACCATTTATGCGTATGCTTATACTGCGGGTGGTCATGATCATGATCAGAACGAGTGGAGAACGGTCGGGAATGGAAGATACAGGGGACATAGGGTTGCATGGACTGATTTTGAGCACTGCCACATCTTAGGGGAAAGCGGCCACTGGGTTTACAAGCCTCAAAATGATGAATGTGTGCTTGTGGGGAAGTTGGAAAGCTTGGAGGACTACAAGTATGGTGCTTTTGGATTAGTCTCGTTGAGAGGAGAGCTCGTCACCGTGAGATTCATGAACGGGCCCATGCGTTTATCACTGGTAAAACGTGTTGACGGGTTTGTAAAAGAGGAGGAAAAATGGGTTTGTGCTGAAATTGTCCCGTATAGGAGAAAGAAAGTGTTTATTTGCTCGGATAATGAGTTCCACCATGTTCCATGGAATCAAACGGTGCTTGATTTGAAGACTGGAGTGTGGAAGGTTGAAAAGCTTGTGACGCCAGTCAAGTTTAAATGGTGCCCTCTAATGAAAGAAACCGATGAAGCTCAGCCATGGCCGAAAGATTGGCCCATGTCACACACATTAGCATTTGTTCCAAATCCAAAAATCTAAAGAAGCTATAGTTTGTGTTCAGAGAAAGAGTTTAGGGTTGTTTTTTGTGAGAGAGCGTGGGTGCAGGAGAAGAGCATTTTCGTGCTCGATAAAATGGAGCTCGACGGGTCACGGCATAGCGGGCCTCCACCCGTGTTGGCGGCGAGGTCGAGCTGGCGGAGGGTGGGGATCTACGCGGGCATTTTATTCTAGAGCCGGCCCCATATCTTAAGCTATGAAACTCGTAGCTGGAAAATTTGGGAAAGAAACCCCCGTGCAAATCGATCGAGGGAGAAGAAA